CAAAGAGTGACAAAGATTCATCATCGTCAAAGAGTGACAAAGATTCATCATCATCATCAAAGAGTGAAAAAGATTCATCATCGTCAAAGAGCGACAAAGATTCATCATCGTCAAAGAGCGACAAAGATTCATCATCATCAAAGACCGACAAAGATTCCTCATCGTCAAAGAGCGACAAAGATTCATCATCGTCAGAGAGCGAAAAAGATTCATCATCCTCAAAGAGCGACAAAGATTCATCATCGTTAAAGAGTGACAAAGATTCATCATCGTCAAAGAATGACAAATATTCATCATCGTCAAAGAGTAACAAAGATGACTCGTCAAAGAGTAATAAGAACACTTCAACCTCAAAGAGCGATGCATATTCATCATCATCAAACATTAATGCAAGCAGCAATACAGATTTGTCGTCGTCAAAAAGTGATACTGACACATCATCTAAGAGAAACAAAGATTCTTCATCGTCGCAAAATGACACAAATGATTCATCATCAAATGACAAAGAAAATCAGTCTTCATCAAAGAGTTCCAAAAATACTTCGTCGTCAAAAAGTGATAAAAATGCTGCATCATCAAAGGATACCAATAATGCTTCATCTTCTAAGAGCAACAAGAGTTCATCATCATCAAAGGGTGACACAAAATTTTCATCTTCAAACAATAGTGAAGACGTTTCACAATCAAAGAGCAATACAGATTCATCGTCAAAAGGTAATACAAATAGTGATTCAGATTCATCATCAAAAACTCACACAAATAGTTCCTCTTCAAAGAATAGAAAAATAGACGCTTCATCCTCCAAAAAAAATATAGATGCTTCATCATCAAAGAGCAATGCAAATGTTTCATCCTCAAACAACAATGTAGATGCTTCATCCTCAAAGAGTAATGCATATATGGATGCTTCGTCTTCAAAGAGCAATACAAATGATGAAACTCTCAAGAAAAATACAAATACAAATGACTCACACTCGAAAAGCAATACAGATGCTTCCATATCAAAGGATGACATAAAGGCCTCATCATCAAATCAAAATGCTAATGTTTCATCTTCAAATAGCAATACAGATGATTCATCATCAGAAAACAACACACATGATTCATCATCCAAAGACAATATAGATGTTTCATCCTCAAAGAATAAATCAGATTCTTCATCTTCAAATAACATTACAAATGCTTCATCCACTTTGAGTAATAGAGATGCGTCATCTTCAGCAAACAGTTCTAACGACTCACACTCAAAGAGCAATACTAGCAATTCAACATCAAAGGATGGTACGAATGACTCATCATCAAGCAGCAATGTAAGTGATTCGTCACCAAAGCATGGTACAGATGCATCATCATCAAAGAATGGTACAGATGCCTCATTGTCAAATAGCGGTAAGTAAAATAGACACATCATTTAATAATAACACGAATTCACGCTTAATCCTCAAAGGGAGGAACAATTTTTTTCATCATTAAAAGACAACACTAATTTTTCATCTTTTAAATATGAAACAGATGCTTCGTCATCAAAGAATAACACAAGTGATTCATCATCAAATAGCAAGACAAGTGACTCATTGTCAAACAATGGCTCACATACTTCATGGTCATCCAGTAGCGCAGATTCTTCATGGTCAGCCAGTAGCAGTTCAAGTTCAGCATGGTCATACAACGAGGGAGGGGATTCATCATCACACAATAAAACAAGCGCTTCAACATCAAATAAAAATAGTGATAAATCCGATGCATCACTCAATGATACCAATAACTTAAACTCTGAGACAGGAATGAACTTTGCCATTGCTGGATCAACAGCTCTATCTAGAGAATACTATGCCACCCAAAAAGCACATCCATTTATTTGGGCAAGCATTCCTCTCACTTTTCAGGCACAAATAGATTGGTTCAACAAATTTTTACAATCGAAGGGATGCAATAATGGAACTGATGCTCGTTGTAATGCTGAGATAGAGAACGCGCTCTTTTGGTTAGGTGCAGTAGGCGTTTCTGACTACTTCCGAATAAATGAACAGACTGTTGCTTCAATGCGTGGAATCTCACAACTATGCATTTTCCATACCTCAAAGCTCCTCCAGGTACATTCATAGAATACGTTATGATTGCACTTACGTCGTGAGAACCTTATATATTATTCTTAGAATATATATTGATAAGTTTGTAAATTTATGGCTATAATTATACAGACTGTGTTGGATGCTGGTGCAAAACACATAGTTGTACAAGGTTTACCACCCGTTGGTTGCTTTCCTGTCAGCATATCTTTAACCCCACCTCAACTACTTGACAAGATGGGATGTTCAATCATTGTAAACACAGCAATAGAAGTCCACAACAGGCTACTCCAAAAGATGATAGAAAAGTTTCGCAAGCAATACCCACAAAGCACAATTGTATATGCAAATTATTGGAAGGCGTTTTTGACCATATTCATGGATGCTGAAAAGTACAACTTTGAGGAGAACAGAAAAGCATGTTGTGGAGGTGGAGGGGATTTGAACTTTGATAAGGACAAGTTGTGTGGCACATCTGGTGCATCAACATGCCCAAATCCAGATAAATACATTAGTTGGGATGGCATTCACCTTTCGGGAGCCATGAACAAGCAACTGGCTGATCTTTTGCTCAACCAGGACTATTGTGAACCACCATTTTCTGAACTTATTAGTAAGAAAAGTAGATGAATGAATGTAAATTAAGTTATACTACAGTATTAATTCTGCTATTACTGCCCCGGATGAGTGTCATCCAGAGAGCGAGAGAATATATAGTGGAACACCCTTTTGTAAACCACTTTTTTGAGAACTAGCTAAATTAGCCTAAATAATAGAAATGGTCCTTGTAATTACTATTGAAAGGGATTATTCTAGTCACAATTATTATCTCTTCTAGTTGGCATGGCAACCAATCGTCCCAAAAAAAATTGCAATTTAGTTTTCATGGAGTTTAAGAAAAATATTGAAAATCAAAATGTATATGATCAGAATTAGTTTAGATGAGAGAGAAATGTTATGAATCACATGTTCAATTGTTCATTACTAAAAAAACAGAAATACAGTGAAGTGTAAATAGTTTATTGAAATATCCAAAAAAGGAAAGTGCAAAATAGGGAGTGAAAAAATATACTCCGTAAGATGCAATCATAGTTGAGCTATACATGTGAAACAAATGAGTCCAAATCTCCTCTATCACACTCACATTGTGTATATTACATCTGGATTCATTAAGAATATTTCTCAACAGTCCCGGATGCAATATAATGACACAAAATTGACACACTCTGTGGAGAGATTTTTGTCCTTAACAAAAGCTATGCAAATTAAGAGCTTCCTCCGTCCCCCCGAAATCAGCATCATAATTTGATTTTTTGGTCACTCTGACCACAAACTAAAAGTAGAGCATTTAATTTAATTTGTGGTACAAATGATTACAAAAGTCAAACTAGGATGATAAGAATTAGATCCATCTGCTACTCCCAGTAAAAAGTAGAGCATTGGAAATTCTAGGCAAACTATTGCATTAACCTAAATACGCATTTTTTAAGTGTTGAAATAAACATTTTTAAAATAAATAAAAAAATATGTGAAAAGGTACCAGGACCTTTGGTAACCTCTTGAAAATCTAAAAACCTAAAATTATTAGAGAGATTATAATGAATTAAGACACTACTTGAAACAGAAATACCTGGAAGAGCAGCGGAGTCGCCGTGATTGCCGGTAATAGTGTAGCCGCCTGAAAATCGCACGCCGGGGAACGAGAATATGCCGGGAGAAGTCGTCGACGGGAAAACGGAAAGGGAAGATCATTGGAAATTGGCAGTGGCGTGTAGCTCTCTTGCGCTTTAAAAACTCGCACAAAGTGAGAGGAACGAGCTCCTCGATTCAAATAGTGCCGTTTAAGATTTCAGTCAGCTAATTTCGTAACTTTATTCAATTTCACAAGGGAGACTAATTTTGAACACCACGTGCAAAACAATTTGTAAACGAGGAATTTATTTATATAGCGCACAATGACTTTCTCTAAATAGCATCATATATGTTTTTTTCCAATGTAGTATTTTTAGTCATTATGAATTAGTCATTATTCAAGTAAATATTCGCCATCAATGGACATTATTAAATGCTATTTAAGGAATAAAACAATTTAAATGCTATTTAGGGAAATGACTTAAGTTTTAATGCTATTTAGTGCAAATATTTCTTTGGAAATTAGTCTGAAAACAGATTAAAATTAGATAAGTTTTACTTGTACCTAAAGTTTACACCTCTTATTATTTATCCCAAGACTTTGCATGGACACAAATTGAATGTTTCCTTGTGTTGGTGCTTATAGGCTTATTATTAGTAAGCACTTTTTAAGTTATATGGAAGTAAAAATAACTTAAATGATAGAAGAGTCACTTAGAAATATTCATAAATGGTAAGAAATAGTTTTGTAAATAATCTGATCAAAACGGATAAACGAAAAAAATGGCTTAAAATAAATAGTTAAGACCTACTTAATTTTTATAAGCAGCTTATAAGTCAGCTTATAAACACACAAAAACACGTCATCAAAACTGACTTATAAGTTAAAAATTGTTTATAAATAATTTTGATCGGCTTATAAGTACACCACTAACATCATGCTATTGTTGCACTTACAGACTTACACTTTGTGTCCGTGCAAAGTCTTCGGATACATAATACGATATAAATTTGGAGTACAAGTAACACAACTCTTAAAAGAATGGATGGTTAGGGTTGTGTAAGTTTGGAGATATGATATGAATGCTAAAATCTGAAAAAATGATATGCATTTTAAAATTTGAAATAACACTCTTGAAAAAAATTTGAAATCATGATTTAATCAGTTAGAGTAGGTGGTGGTTAAGAAAGATGTCAAACTCTTATATTCGTATCTCTCAAATTCGAATGATACCGAAACAATCTATTTGGAGATGTGTGATATCTAGAGATGTTGAATTTAAATTTTTTATGTCTCACCATCCAAATACGAAAAAGGAAATTTGATATCAGAAATTCAGAAGATATACAAACTCAAACATATACTCGAATATAGAAAGTCTAGATGGTTATTTAAGTATCCAAGAGAAAAAGTGACACGTAACTTGAAGTAAGAAATGTTTTTGAATTTTAACTTGAAATAAGAAATGTATTACTCTGTATGCGGGGAGGAATTTGGAATTAAAAGAATAAGAAATTATCCAAATAGAAGTAAAACATAGCATTTGTCCTTAAATTATAAGTTTTATATTTTATTCACTCAAATTATAAGTTTTATATTTTATCCCAAAATAAGAGTTTGCACTTTGCATGTTTATATTATGATACTGTACATTGACACCACACTGTAATTTTTTGTACTCCCTCTATCATATTGGCTTTATTTTCAATTCAATTTATTTGATTGTAGGTGTAAAGTTTAAAAATAAAATCTATTTATTTAAAAACTGCATCAAAAGTTATACAAAATAAGAAGTGTCAAAACTATATTATTTTATCAAATAACTAACAAATATAGTTAAAGAATGATTAAAGTTTGACCATTTGAATAGTAACTTGATAGAATATTTTAGAACAGAGGGAGTACTATATACTTGCATTATTGGTATTGTAGTCCTATTTTGGAATAAAACACATGAAACTTTTGGTACTTTTTTCATATTTTATGCATGGTTTAGTCCTTTTCCCATGAAGAAATATTCTTTTATTATTATTATTACTCCGGTATTATTATTATAATATTATTATTATTTATTTATTTTCCATAGGTGGTTTTATTTGGTAGAAATTTAATTATGAAAAAAGTAAAACTTTACTTATTTGATATTTGTTCTTTCTATATAAAGATAGAATTGTCATTGATATTGACTCCATATGTTGTTTCATCTTGTATTCTTCCAAAGCATGCCTTGTAATTATCCTTTGTGTCTTGCCTCTCTTTTGGATTATTTGTGCCTTGGTTTTTATCTGTGTGTTTTGGTTTTGGCATATGTGCCATTGTGCCAAGCTTTGTGTCCCTGGTTAGCATTCAATTTCTCTGAACACTGATTTGACTTTGTTTCAAAAAAACAAAAAAAGTTTGTTTTCCTCCTCCTCTTCATTTCCTTCTCTATATTATCTTCACTCATTTCTTCTTCTTCATCTTCCTCTTCCTTTGTTTTTTCTTCTTCTTGTACTCTCTCGTTGGCCTTGTGTGGGGTGTTTTGACTTGGTTTGCCTTTTATGGCTTATGCTTTTCGTGTGCTTGGGGTTTGGCTGGTCAATCTTTATGGTCAACCTCAGTGTTCCCCTTGTGTTTTGGACTTTGGCTTTTACTTGGATCCTTACTTGCATGTCCCAACAATTGTGGACATCGCTTTGACTCGGGTATATGTATGCTCTGGTCTTGAATTACATACCTTGTGTCAAGGAACCAATTCAACTAAAAGCTCAAGTTTGTAGTTGTGGCCTAGGAACTTTTGTTTATATTCTAACACGCCCCTTCACGTGCAGGCATAATATTTTTCGAGTCTTGCACGTGAAATTTTAATTTTTTTAAAACTGGGTGGCGCTGAATTTCGAACCCGTGACCTCTTAGTCAACGAGGCTCTAATACCATGTCAAGGAACCAATTCAACCAAAAGTTCAAACTTGTGGTTGTGGCCCAGGAATATTTATTTATATTCTAACACCTTGGCTTTTGCTCTAGAGCTTGAGTCTTGGGGGGTGTTTTTGGGTTGGTGTCTTGGCTTTGATCTTGGCCTTCGTAGTTTGGGTATTGATACTGGCTTGCGAACTTGGTTTTGAGTTTTGCTTCTATTTCTATCCTTTCACAGACTTGTTGGTGGGCCTTCGCCAGTGGTTTCTTTGCGATGTGTGCCCTGAGGTTTGACATGCGAGCCATGTTTTTGTTATTGACTTTGTTTATAGATTTTGATTTTTGGGCCTGCGTGCCTTGATTTTTGTTACTGGCTGTTCTGGTTTGGGTTGGTGCCTCAACCTATACGAACGTTTTCATTGACTAGAATATGCCCGTTGTATTCTTATACTTTTTTCCAGTTAGGTTTTAATAATGTTTACACGTCACCCAAGACAAGAAGATAAAATTGTATTTGTATCCACGCAACAATTTAATATACAAAAACATTTTCCATTATTATTATTATATTAAAACACTTTGAGAGGATACTTCCATTCAAAAAAAAAAGTATGAGACTTGCCAATTTCATGTAAGTGGAGCTGAGGCAATGCCGGATTATCTCCGGCCATTACTTTACCATTTCCTCATTTCAACCATTCCAAAAGTACGTCTCCCCCCTAAAACTATGCTTGCCCATTCCCCGCCCCTTATATATACACTCCCCATATACTTTCCAATAAAAATAGTAGTAATTATAATATTATTAATATTTCTTAGGGAATAATATTAATATTAATAACTGACTGAATAGTCAAAATAAAGTTTCATACCCCAAATAACCCAAAAAAACAAAAAAAAAATCAAAACTAGGCAAAAAAATCTTGTAGTAATTCATTGATATAAACCATAATGTCAAAAAAATTAGAATTGCCCATCTCCCTCTTTCTATTGTTCTTGTCATTCTCTTCCTCATCACGGGCTGATGCCACCACCACCACCGTGACACATCAACAATCTTCTACCAAGTCGGAGTCCAGCAGCTCTTCTAGAAGCTTCTCGAAAGTTTACGCCTTCGGTGGGACCAGCACCGACACCGGAAACGCGTATTCCATGGGGGGCATGAAGGAGGAGGTGGTTTCGTCCTCCTCCTCCAAACGCTCCTCCGAGACGCATTCCGAGTCGTCGTCGAATTCGTCTTCTTCCTCGCAGAACACGAATTCGACGTCGTATTCAGATGGACGAATGTCCAACGGCCACTTGGTGGTCGACTACCTATGTAAGAACCTCGACCTCCCTCCGCTCCCTCCTTACCAAGGGGGAAAAAATTCCTCCTCTTCGGAGGCAGCGGCGGAGAGCGGTTCATCTAATTCTTCGTCGTCGTCTTCAAATAGCCAATCGAGTGCTTCGTCGTCGTCATCCTCGTTTGAAGCGAAAAAGAGTGGTGCATCCTCTTCTAATTCGGGTTCCGCCGGAGGAAGCACCAATTCCACCGCAAGTGACGGTGGCAAAACCAGAGGAAAGAATAGCGGTTCCGCAAACACCGGCTCCAGCTCGGGTTCCACGAGCGAAAGCTCAACCGAGAAAAGTTCAGCCAGCGGTTCTTCTGGTTCAATATCGGGGGAAAGCGCCTCATCCTCTAATACCGGTTCGGCTTCAACAAGCCAAACCGGGGCCTCTGGCGGCGGTTCAACAGGCACCTCATCTTCGAATACCGGTTCAGGTTCATCCTCAAATACCGGGTCGGGTTCGTCAGGAGGAACAAGCAGCGGCGGGGGATCAATCAGCGGTTCCGCAGGAGCCTCGGCCTCCATGTCTGCGAACGCCGGAGCCAGTGCGAGCGCGGGAATTTCCGCCGGAGCCGACGGGAAGATATCCGCGCAGATCAATTTCAGCTTCGGGATCAACTTCGCCATCTCCGGATCAACATTCCTGGCGGGAAACGGGAGCGTCGCCGGGAAACCGAATCCCCTGTTCTGGGCGGGGAACCCCCTGCCGTTCCAGACGGAGATCGAGTGGTTCAAGGAGTTTCTGGCGTCGAAGGGGTGCAAAAGCGCGGGCGACGCGCGGTGCAAGGCGGAGGTGGAGAACGCGCTCTTCTGGTTGGGTTCCGTGGGCCTATCGGATTACTCTCGGGTCGAAAAACGTTCGGCGGTTAATTTGCGCGGGATATCGCAGCTCTGTATTATTCATATCGCTAAACTTCTCCGGGTATGTGCCCTCCAAATTCAATGCTATCCTTTTCTCATGAAATTTTGAATTTTGCTAAACGTTTTCAAAAATTTTAACTACAAGAAAAAATAAATTATGACATTTTGACCACATGAAAAATTCATCCACGAATTTTTGTCCAATTTTTACATTTTTTGTTCAAAATTAATAAATTTTGATCATAAATTAAATTAAAGTGATATTAAATACTAATAATTTTATTAGATTCAATTTATTAAATATTTTCAACATAATATTTTATGTAACTAATACTCTCTTTGATCTTAAAAACTTTTCCTGTTTATAATTTTTAATTAAAATGTAACACTTTTTAAGACTTTAACTACAAATTAAACATAATCTAAATAAATAATACGTAATATAAAATTTTGATATATTAAAACTATATTTTATACTCCCTCTGTCCCCCAGTTTTTATCCACTTTTGACTTTTGGAACTGTTTATCTAAGCACTTTGACTCATCAAATTTTCTCAATGTGTAAGCCTAAATATAGTCATGTGTGATCTTGTTTGATTTGTCTTAACATATAGATTATTAATATATAATTTCTATAATTTTTTAATATACAAATTACAAGATAATATGTATTAAAGAAGTGTATTGGATGGTGTGTAAAAATGAAAGTGGACAAATACTCTGGGACGGAGGGAGTAATTAAGTATAGTTTTCTCATTATTTATAGTCAAAGTGCATCATTATTTGACAAAAAAAATAAAAAAATAAAATATTTTTAAGGACCGAAGGAAGTATATATTATATATATATTATTTAATCATAAATTTAAAAATAATGATGACTGCATAAGTCAAAACTCGAAAAAAATAGAATAATAAGTTTATAAAACACTTATGCTTTGTTTGGAAGGAGAGAAAGAAAATGGAGGAAGAGAAAACACAAATCCCAATACAAATTCTCTTGTTTGGAAAGAAAAAAAAATGGGAGAAGAAAAGAAATTGAGAGTGACTTTTCCCTTCAAAATTTTCCCCATGGAATTGAAGAGAAAACTGTAAAGGAGAGGAGAAAACTTTGAAATTTACTTTTTTGCCCTTTATCTTGACTTTTCCCAAGGGCAAAATTGTCTTTTTTAGATCCATCACTTTTTTTCTTCCTACTTTTCACTTCAAACAAACAAAGAAAAGAAAATGAGTATTTTCTTTCCATCTTATTTTCTCTTTATTTTCTATCTATCCAAACACCCATTATTTTCTTTTTATTTTCTCTTCATTTTCTTTTCTCTCTATTTTCTTTCTTCTCATTTTTTTTCCTCTTATTTTCTTCTCTCATCCAAACATATGCTTAGGTTTTAGCTTCTTTTTTTTCAAATCAAAATAGATTTCAAATGTTACTCCAAAGAGGAAGCATTAATGTATACGTACATGGACGGCGCGTGCAGGTGGTGCTGGAAGCAGGGGCAAAGTACATAGTAGTCCAAGGTCTGCCGCCGGTGGGGTGCCTGCCGGTGGCCATAGCGCCGTGCCCCTTCTTCCTCCGCGACCACATGGGCTGCTCCGCCGTGGTGAACACCGCCATAGACATCCACAACCGGCTCCTCATCAAGACCATAGAGTCCTTCCGCCGGCAGTACCCGGGGAGCACCATCGTGTACGCCGACTACTGGAAGGCCTTCATGGAGATCTTCACCAACAGCCACAAGTACAAGTTCGAGGAGAAGACCAAAGTCTGCTGTGGCGCCGGCGGCGGAGACCTCAACTTCGACCCCAAGGCCCTCTGCGGCTCCGCCGCATCCTCCGCCTGCAAGAGCCCCCGGAAGTACATCAGCTGGGACGGCATTCACTTCACAGACGCCATGAACGAGAAGCTCGCGGACCTCTTCTTCAAGGGAGATTATTGTGACCCGCCGTTTTCCGAGCTGGTCAGCAAGAGAAAGAGTTCTGGGGCGTCGTAGTCTTAATTGTACGTAGGTTATTGTGACACAACATAACAAAAAAGGGAAATGCTAGGGTGCCACCACATGGGCTACCATGGGTGCACTCATGCTTCACACACAGACAATAATTGTCTGTGTCGCACACACTATTATCATCTATGTTTGTCTGTGTGAAGCATGAGTGCACCCATGGTAGCACCCATGTAGTGTGACCCTAGCATGGTCCAACAAAAAAATGTATGTGTGTCGTCTTAGGTAGTTGGGTAGGTAGGTAGCGCCCCGGGTGGGACCCACCCGGGGGCCGAACCAGAATGAAGTAGGATGTGAGTACCCGGGGGCCGAACCAGAATGAAGTAGGATGTGAGTATAAGTGACAATGTAATATGGAAATGATCCTTGTACGTTTGTGTGTGGATGAATAATTTGTATGTACAAAGTAAAAGAAGAGAGTTCTTTATTTTCACATGTCATTATAATGTTATTGTCCCACAAAGAACTTCTAACTTTCCTAATTTGGATGTCCATAAAAACCCGCAACGCTTCTACGTTTTTTCTTGAAGTTTATGAAACAGACTAATTTGATGAACACTTTATGGAACGGAAACGCAATAAAAAATTGCTCAGTTAGTTACTGGATAGTTAAGCTTTTGCTGTGCACAAGAATGTGGCTGAAATACTGAAAACAACGTTCTATATATACCAAGAACATCTGCATAAATATTACTCCGGAGTAATAAGTTAATAACTAAACTTGACATTAGAATATCGTACAATGTGGATATATTGGGGCTGCAAGCAACAGTTCATATAGAATTTCCTATACAATCGGCTTGATTATTGGTATCCAGAACACCCTCAATAATATTTATAAAAAACATCTTAATTTCGGGTAAGGGGGATATTAGAGAAATTATCAATCTATGTTCTATTATAGTTCTTTACAAAGAAGTAAAGAACATTGCAAATACTCAAACCTGGATATTTGGGGAAGCATTTTCACGTCTACATTCTTCCATCGCAACTGATCTGGTAGTACGGGAGAGGAGCTTGGTGTTCTTTCCCATAACATCTTTGGAGCTATCAGACTTTCCTGAAAGCCTCCAGGGTGGTTTAGAACTATTCTCTTGGACTTTCGAAGCAGGCTTCTGCATTTCTGGAATCTGCATATCATAAATGTATTTCATTCGATCACATAACAGGCAAAGATGACATAATGCTCCTCTCCATCCATCTCCCAAAATCAACTTCTCGTAGAAAACAAAATGGAGATTAGGAGTGAAAAGATCATTTACATCCTACTCCCTACCATTTCGGGTTCAGTAAAAGGTAGTAAATATGTAGGATGTAGGTTTTTTTATAGGAAAGAATGTGGATTGTTAAGAGTGAAAAGATGGATTGTTCAGTAGAAAGGTTGATTGATGGATTTTTTTGTAGAAAAAGTTGATTGATTGATTGATGGATTACCTAAATGTTCCTCCCTACTTTTCTGGGTTCAACTAAAGGTACAGTAAAAATATGAAGGTTGTTGAGGGTAAAAGGAGGTTTGATATGATTCAAAATGAGGTTATCGAGAGACGTTTAGGCGTGGCACCTATGGAGGATAAGCTTCACGAGGCTAGGTTTCGATGGTTTGGTTCCGTGAAGCGACGTGAGCCTGAGGCTTGCGATAGTATGTGAGTTTAGGGGAAGGGGTAGACTGTAGACTTAGAAAAAATTAGGAGGTTATTAGGCAGGACTTAGGACTTCTTGTTCTTAACGATTAGAATCGTGGGTTAGTTGTTTAGACCAGGGTAGTAGTATAGTTCTTGTCATTGTGTGTTTGGTAGGTGTGGGGTCTTTCTTCTTACTTATGTTTGTGTGCCTTTTGTCTTTTGTGTGGTTATCTTACCCTTTGTTTGCTCTTTATTTCTTTGTTGTACTATCCTTTCTTTGGAAATAGCCTCTCTAGTCTATACAAGTAGTAGGGGTAAGGTCTGTGTACGCATACCTCCCCAGACCATGTTGTTGCGGGATTCAATTGGGTTGTTGTTGAGGATTAAAGGGTCTATTATTAAAAAAGAAAAAACTGAAAGAAAACAAAAAAGACATGGGAAGTTGCTTCTGAGACAACCAAAAAAGGAAAATGAGAAGTTAATTTTAGAATGGAGGGAGTAATTGCCTTTTTTTCAATTTCTACCGAACGGCATTCATTACCTTTCCTATGGTGCTAATTGATGAATAATCTCCTCTTGTCAGATGATTATTGAAATTAGGTTTAACCCGGGACGTAGAGGCTCTCAAAACTGTAGATTCATTTGTTCTTTTACCCTGCTAAAAGAAAGATAAAAAAAGTTAAATTTGATGTTTTCAAGAGGGAAATTTCACATTTCAAAAGTTCCATCATATGCTCAACATACCATTGCTTTTATTTGTGTCTGCTGCTCCTCTTTCAACTTCTGTTCTATCTTCTGATAGAACTGAAGTAGAGACGGGAAAAATATAGAAAAACATTTTAAAATGGGTTACTTAAAAGGATTGACTATGGCATAATTGCTACAGGTTCACATACCTCTTTACGCTTCATTGCTCTTTCCTCGCTCCTGAAGACAAATGAAGCACATGTAGTGGAAGAAGTTGATGTCTTACTTCCATTTGCATTTGAAGGTTTCAAATTGCTGCCCCAATTTGGAAAAGATAAGATTCTTGCACAATTGAATTTACTACAAAGAGTGTTTGAGATGACTTGTTTTCAAACAATAACGATTTTTAAAGAAAAAAAGTATTTGTTTCTTTAAAAAGAGATTTGGCAAAGAAATTGAAGATGTGCTTTTAATAGTAAAAAATAATGTTTTATGATTATTAAAGAAAGCACGAGTTTAGTGTTTTTTAATTGAAAAGATGCTTTTAGTTTTTTTTAGAGATAACCTTTATATAAGCACTTGCAGCATACGTTATCCAAACAGGCTCTTACAGCCTTTTCAAGAAAGCACTTACCTTGTAATTTTTGGCTCAGATACAGGCTTTGATAATGAAAAGCTAGTTGTCTGCAGTTCAGAAAACAAGCATCTAAGAACAATCGTCTTTAATGATATGAGTTGATAGAAAACCCAACAAAGAATAAGCAGTGCACCCTAATAGGAGATATTTTAGATCTGTTCTCTCGAGTTGTATTATTAGTTATTGCTCGGACAAACTTTGAATTGACGATCTTCTGAAGAACTGGAGAAGATGTTTTGATGTACTCATCATGCTCCGAATTTTCTGCCACATGATCAACTCCTGTAATAGAATGGTCTCTCTTCGTGGATTGAATGGATGGTGTTGGCTTCACGAGTGGTGCATTGGGCAATCCACATTTTGTTGATGGTTGTATTACTTTCATAGTTGCAGATGAACAAGTAGTCTCATCTGAATCTCCCATTGCAACAGTTCCCTCCTAAATGGTCAATATTAGCAAATGAAATGGGGCGATATGCAAATGTAACAATAATATATGCTCATAACAGACATACCTCTGGCTCCAAATTCTCATCTAGGTATGATGCATTTAGTGGTTTCGCCACATCCTCACTGAATATAGGTTCTTCCGTTTGTTTTGCAGCTGCAATTTTTTGGTCTTTCACCTTAAGAGGAGATTTTTTTGTTCTGCTCTCTTGAAGTTTACCATTAGTCATTGCTTTAACAAATTTAGAGTTCACAATCTTCTGAAAAATTGGAGAAGATTTTTTCATGGGCTCATCATCAAACTCTATGTTGTCGATTGACACATGGAGAGATCTTGGAGTGAACTGCTTTTTAGCTGCTGAACCTTTAGTAGTAGTGGCCTTCTTACTACTACTTGACATAGAATGATCAGTCTTCTTGGGTGGAATTGATGTCGGACATCTAGTTGATGATTTTATGGTTGTTGATGCATGGGGTAACTTGTCGGAGACTCGTGTGTCTCCCATTGTAGCAGTAGTAACCTGAAAGTCCATTAGCCAAAAAAGGGGGATATAATTTACAAACCTAAGTAAGATTAAAAAATTACTCTTAAATAAATGTTCTAACTTCTAAGTACAAGTGTTTCACCTGGTCAGGGAGCATATCTGAGATTAAGAAGTAAATTTTATTAGAGTAAATCCAATGGTTTTAAGATTGAAAATAAGCTTTAATGTGTAGATTTAGGGCAAATATTCTACTCTTATTTCTACTACATAAAGACCATGAATATAAGCATATATAAAAAAATGTAGAAACACTAATCTCAAATTCCGAGGCAAAACCAAAACAAGTGCTTTAGGGCTAGTATCTCTGTACACACCCTCCCCAAACCCTACTCTCTGTGGTTTTTGGGGTTTTACTGGGTTTCTTGTTATTGTTGTTGATTATTTCCATCATCTCGGATGGAGCCAAAATTTCACCATTTTTGGCTTTGGGATGTGATGGAGTAAATCAAAATGGATCTCTAAACTGTCTGTACTTCTTTAATTAATGAAGTAGCAGTTAGTTAAGCAATGCAACTTTCGACGTTGAGCCGGGGGTCTCTTTAGAAACAGCCTCTCTACTTTCGAGTAGGGGCAAGGTCTGCGTACACACACCCTCTCCAGACCCTACTTTTGTGGGATTTAATTGGGTTGTTGTTGTTGTTGTTGTCTTGTTATTGTTGTTGAAATTTCCAGGATCCAAACCCATTCTAAGGGAAGGGAAGCCAAGCATCTAGTCTGGAATCAGGTGAGTCTAGGTGGGTATTTTTAGCAATGAACATAAATGACATACCTCTTTACTGCATATAGGCTGTCCTGTTGAGGGTACAGCCATGGTATTTTCTTGGTCACTTTTGTCAAACACAGCATTGTTCCCATTAGAATGTCCAGGGGAAGAATCCAAATACGCATTACTTTGGTTCTGATTCACTCTGTTCAAACCAGATGAATGCTCAGCTATTGCAGATTTCTGTTCAACCGTAGAAGAAGCTGCAGTTTTTTTGGAAGCCATTGTCTTGAACCGGGCTTCAAAGAAAGCTTTCTTCTCAGCAACAGAACCAGGCCTGGAGTATCTCAGAGCTTCTTCTCTGTAATTATTCTGAGGGAATGTAGACCACTTGTCCCAAGCCAGTGATTCCGTCATGTATTTCCCAAACGAGATTGACGAAGTTAGAGCACGAAGAATATCTCCCTATAATCACAGCAGTCTTTGCAGGAGTTAACAATAAAAATTTCAAAAAACCAATATCAAACACATACCGTGCACGACCAAAAACTGGTTACTCATAATTCTCAACCCAAATGAAAACAAACTTAATTCGGAGAAGAATGGTGTTCTGACTTCTAAGATTAACATTTCTCAGTAATTACAATTCACAAACAGAGATTGAGATGAAAAAAAAACCTTCCAAAACATTGAAATCCGAAGGATTGAAATCAAACATAGTACTCAGGAATATAACGTGTTACAAAAATAATAGATAAATTCACATTTCACACTGCTAAAGCTCCAAATGATCGCGAGATTACACTAAATTGATGAATCGTTTTGATGATTTCCTTCACACAAATCAATTTCGCTACATAGAACAGCAGAAATTTGGTTCCTAGAACTGACCTCGTCACAGGACCTGGAGAAGGAAGGCTGGGTGAACGATCGCACCATACAAGGGGAAGACGTTTCCGCCATGGCTGAGCAGCAAATCCCGCTGAGACCTTCTTCGTTGATTTAGAGATCCAAATGGTTCTTCAAAAGTTGAAACCCTGCAAGAACTTGATTTTTTATCTGCCGTTCTCTGAGAATTGCTTGTAACTCCTTCGGCGGTTTCAGATGGGGCGAGCTGAGCGGGTCGTAGGGCAAAAATGGTGATTCAAACGGCTAGTTTCTCTTTAACCATCTGCTTTTTGAAAAAATACTACTATTTATCATGGGCCATTCAAGGGCTTGCACCCAAAAATTTGTACCTCATTTATATATCAATGATATGCACTAATATTTTTATGGTTCACACTGACACAAAGTATTGGTATGTTAACAAAAAATTATATTGACACAAAATGTTGGATCATCAACAAAAATTAGCATTATACCAACAAAAAAAAATGTTGATGCATCCTTGTAGTATGCAAAATGGGATACAAATCCTTAGATACAAATAGCTTTACCCTTCAAGCATAGTACCTCTATAATTTATAGGTGTGAGCAAACAAGATATGACTTTTGATATCTTCAGATATCAAATTCCAGCGGCGGATTCAGATATTATGACTGGAGACAAACATACACTAAAGAGTATATTGGGAGTTCAGTGTAGCGCTCTTGAAATTTTTAAAACATTCGATTATGATTAATAAATAAATAAATTTAATTTCAAACAAGCATTAAAATAAGAAAATTATTTTCAAAGTAGAAAAATAAAATATAAAATACGGAAATCTATTCTTGAATCAAAACTAAATACAGAAATCTATATAAAATTTATATAGAGTATTATAATATTGACCCAAGAATAATTATATTGGATCTATATGGTAAAACATTTTCAAAATATTATTTAATACGTAGTATAATGTTGAATAACTTTATGTAAATATACTTTTGGTCCAATAAATGAATAGCTTTAGTTTTTAGTCCCTCTAAAATATTTTTTCAATTAAACTATCCCCATAAAATTTGTGTTTCCAAATAATCCTCCCACCCACTTAAATTAATATGCCACGGTTTATGTTAGGCGTGTCGTAGCACATACAAATTAATTTATTCATTTCCTTTACTTAGTTCCTTCTTGTAAAAATAGTATTTATTAAATCTATAGATAGGATAAGTAAGAGTCGATCCCACGAAGAAAGACATTTTTTAGGCTATGAAAATCGGTTTACTTTGTCACTTTTTATTGAGTGAAAACAACTATCTAAAATCTATAAACTAAATTAAAAGATGGGGGGTTTGAAAATTGTTTTCTAAATAAAGTAAAAAACTAACTAAAGTGACACACCACACCAGAACAAATCTCAAAACAAACCAAGGATAAAAACAGAACATAACTCCACCAAAAAGCCCAAACGAAGAAGACAAGCACACATAACACAATAATTTAGAGACTTAAACAATTTTAGAAAACCAACAAAATGTTTTATAATATAGAAAATAAATATCCAGGATCAAAAC